GTGACCCATCTCTGAGTAATCCTGCTATAGACAAAATGACAAGTCTGAAAGTTCTGCTGAGCAGATGTTCACTAAAGCCTGGAGGCACAACTCTTTATTGAAAAACCTACCAGAGATTTCACCCACATTTTTCAAGTATTGTCTACAAAGGAAATAGGAAGGCAATGGATCAAGAGAGCAGATCTTGTAGCCTAAGAAGGTGAGCAGAAGAAAGTTAAACCACAAGTTGAGTTAATCAAGAAATTGTTGAGGCCAGGCTTCTAGTTCAGAGGGTTAGGCCAAAGCTGCAGCTGCTGCAAGAGCCTCTATTGAACCAAACCAAAAGCATTACTGAGTCTGGGCATTGAAGTCCTCAGACATCTGGGAGTCCAATAGACAGGAGGGAAAGTACTTCCAAATGCATATGCCCTCAGGTCAGATAGGCACAAGAGCTCCATGACAGATAAGTGGAGCAAGCCCAAAAGAGGCTGAAACAGGGACCACTGTCATTGAAACTGAATTTACATTGGCCCTCCGGAATCTTTGGGGGTTTCTCTAAAGTTCTTCATTCCTGCTGGATCAAACATTTGGTTGGGCTCAGCAGCCTGTCTGCCTGTGGCGTCAGTTTCCCATAAAGATAGTGTGAACATAGTAATGGGGTTACACTTTGCAACCCCCCACTGGGTGTGGTGGCCCATCTCTGTAATCCCAGTGACTTGGGAGACTGAGGCAGAATTGCAAGTTTGAGGCTAACCTTGGCAACTTGGTGAGATTCTGTCTCAAACTATAAATAATGTCTGGGGATATAGTTCAGTGGTAGAGTGCCTCTGGGTTCAATCCCCAATACTGAGGGGGGTGCGGGGGATTGTACATTTTCGTAACTCGGAAGCACATGCTACATGCAGGACACTGGAAAGTAGTAGGGGTATGGAAAGATGAGCTGAAAGTGTTCTTTGCCCTCCATGAGCTAGCCATCTTGTGCAGAGATAGATGAGTGAGGTGAGTCCAATAGACTTTTTGTGTTTTGAGTCAGCAAGCAACAGTAAATGATTGTAACTGCGAGCTACCTGGAGGAGGTGACAATTAACTGTGAATATTCGGAAAATTTTAATTGGCAAAAGAGAAAAAAAGCAACAGATGTTGGGCATAGCGTCTCACAGTGAGCTAGTAAACAATGAGCATAACATCTTACCCATCTCCTGCTGTTTAGGAAAGAAAGTTAACAGGAAATCTGCTCAATTTCCCAATAGGCCTGGGGGCTATAGTCAGCACGTTTTCCCCAAGGAGTAAAACTATTAGCTTACAAGATGATTAAGTAGAATTTTTAGGTCCAGGTGATCGCCATCACTCTAATCATGTTTCTCAGTTTTAGACTGGTGGATACCAGTCTCTTGGTTGTCTTTGGGTATCCCTTATATCACCAGGTAACGGATTGTTATGCCACCTGAGCAGATTGCATCTCAGTATATAAAAATGGTATCACACAGGTCTCTGTGGCGATGTTTGAGGTTTTGTTCATTTTATACACGTACATTAGCACCAAACATAAATGCCATCCTCTTAAACATAACTCCTAAATCAATGTTGATTAGAGATAAATGCTTGTTATTTTGCTACTTGAATAGAGGAACACATTACCAAAGAGTTGAGAATGTGTACTCTGTATCCTGGTGATTGACCGAAGAACAGGAGCTCAGTTGTGCATTTCAAAAAGTTTCAATGCAGCAGAAGTAGTGGCACCTGCTTGCTATTACCTGAGGGAAAAGCCTGCACTGTGAGCAGAGAGGAAGGGGTCCTGGAAGAGTGGGCAGAAATGGGTAGGTCACAGTTCCGCCTAGGATCTCTGCTGAGCCCTAGCAAGGGGTGGATGACATGTGGACTTGCCTCCAGCCTGGTTTCATTTCCCAAATCTGTTGCCAGAAGCTGCACATGGATCAGTTCATAAGATGATTTTAGTAAGGTACAAGGGGAATATAACTCTTTTCTCCTCATTTCCTGTGCCTCCCTTTCCCTTCTCCCCACAAGAGAGAAATTCTGACCCTTCTGCCAGGCCTTTTACCAACCTGGACAGATGACAATGGGGTGAGGGTAGACTGCTCAGCAAGTGACCAGTTGCTGTCCTGCCTGAGGTATCTCTGTGTTCTCTATTAACTGTCTCTCACCAAGTCTGCCTAACCTCTCTTCTGCCTCTTCTTTTCTGCTAACCTACTTGCTGACCTGTACAGACCAGCTCTACCAGCAACTTGAGCAAAACCGCCGCCTAACTAATGAACTAAAGCTGGCCCTGAATGAGGATTAAAAAGTGTGAAAAAATCTTGGGCTGAATTCTAGGAATGGAGCCCATGTGCAGGAAATCTAAGACTGTCCAACCCTCAGCTAATAGGGTGGAAAACGGTACTTTCTTCTGCAGAAATGCAAATGAAAGGAATCGGCTGAAAGGCGCTGGCTTGGCCTGTCTTTTCCTCTATATATCAGGAATAATTGAGTTCTCTTTAATCCCAAAACAATTTTTTATGGTAAAATAAAATACATATATTATATATGTGGATAAATATTTATAACAATCAAGTCGGCACTCTTTTTGCAACAGCAGGTCCTCCTCTTTCAATAATGAGGACCAAAAAATTTTTGTTTTCTATTTCACAGAGACAACTGTGAGTCCTGCTTTAAGTATATATATAATTACATGTTTGTATTTCTAACTTATTCATATATGGTATAGTGTTTGAAATATAATTAAATGTACCTATGCTTGGGCAAAATAGCTTTTGAAAACAGGAGCTTATATCAGAAGTCCCTGGTTGTCTGAAAGGTATGCTTTATTCAGTTTAATAGTGTTGTTGGAATCTGATGAGAATGTCTTGCTACTACTAAATAGAATACTATAAAATATTAAGAGAATGTCCTAATGAAGTGTGCATGAAACATGTTGATAACTTTATGAGCAACAGAAATAAATCATTTTAAAAGTTGTCCAAAACCTATTATGTCATCTTTGTTTTCTGTGAGGCCGTGTTACAACACGTCTCTCAGACCTTTAACTGCCTGTAACTCAGAAGCATCTGCTGATATTAACTTCTCCAGTTTGTATAATAATGCTGCAAGCTGTATTTGGTTTTTGCCTCTCTGTGTTCCCACAGCATACAATCGGTGAACCTTCACCAAACCCACCCTGCATTTTATTCTCAGGGTGGATTATTGGTGCTGGTATCTCTGACCACACTAAGACTCTGCTGTGCCTGTGGTTCCTTTGGGTTAAAGATGTCTTCCCCATCTTAGGTTCTTGTCTAGAAATGAGTAATGTCTTAAAAGCATGCCTAGTTCTAATCATCTCATTCTGTGTGTGTGATTGATGTTTGCCTGCCTGAATGTACAAAGCACCACTGTGTCCAAAGTGCAGCTATTCATGACTTAATTTTCTAATCCCACCACAGAGAAAGTGGCTCATGCCAAAGAAGAAAACCTTAGTATGCATCAGATGCTGGATCAGACTTTACTGGAGTTAAACAACATGTGAAAACCTCCTTAGCTGCGGCCACATTCTTTTATTTTATTTTTTGTTGTTTTGTTTCTAAACACCTGCTTACCATGATACCCCTTAAATGCATTTTTATTTACTTTTACCACCATCACAGAAACATCCACAAAACACCAGCTAGGGCAGGAGGTAGGGAGAAAACACCAAAAAAGGCAAGCCCATGTTAGGGCAATAATGGTTTAAATGTGCCATTTCCCAGGTTGACATTGCCACACTTTACGTAGAGTTTAGCCACACAGTTTGCTTAGTCAGTGGAAGACTCCTCACTGAAGCAGAAAGATTTCCACTCAAAGTGCCAATGATAGGGGCAACAGGAAGATTGATGTCAGAGACAATCAGTTGTGGATTGGTGCTACTTTAAACAAAATGTCCCCTGTGGTCTTTTGTTCAATATTGTACAATTTAGAATTTTGAACAACACTATTTTGTCTTGAGTTTTACTGCAAGATAAGACTATGATCCAGTATGCCTGTGTTCACTGAAGCCAAGGGTTTGAAAGCCACACTGCTCTTCTAAGGCTTCCATTCCTTTCTGATTGGCACACTTGCAGCCCATTACAACTACTGTAGAATAGCATTCAGTGTGGATTTCCACTCTTTCCCATTGTCCATGTTAAAGTGAAAGGTTTAGGCACTACATACAATTGGTAAAGAAAATACATTTTCTTGAGGGTTATAACTATATGTAAACATTGTATAATGATATGAAATAAAATGCACATTGTAGGACATTTTCTAAATTTGGTGGTCCTGTCATTTGTATGTTCTTACTTTGTGAAGTTTAGACTGCATGATTGACCTTCAAGATTTCTTAAAATGATAAGCCAGAGGGAAGTGGGGTCTCATGTGTTATACTCTCAGAAGCAGTAAAGGCAGCATGATTTTGGTCTCTTAAAAGTTATAGCAAGCAGGCAGGGCTCTTTCCAGAAGTTGTTTTTCCATATTACTGGTATGTATCTGCATGGACATAGAGATCTTTTGCAGTGCTTTTACTGCTTTGGGAATTTCTTGCTCAAATATCAGCTAAGTCTTTAGCCCTAATATGTACACATCAACTAGTGGTGGGTTAATATACCAAACCTGCTATTGGCCCACACCCCTGTGATTCTACTTAATAGTTCTGCTTTCATGAGTCTTTATGATTTTCTGCTTTCTAGATTGAATGGGTTGCAAATTCCATTGCATCTTCCTTTCTTAGACTTGGAAACTGAAAATATCATTGGTTGTTTCCATAGCTTTTGTAGACACTAAGCCAATACACCCAGGTGATAAACAATAATACTTGGCTTAAGTTGTGCTATAGGAGAAAAAAAGAATGTTCTCACCAAAAGCAAACAGTCAAATGGAAATAAATGAAAACTCACTTGCATGTAAGTATAATATTTTCATTCAAAAGTACAAATATCTCTTTAGCGTCCTTCGTGATCTTTAATCAAGTAGCTCCTCTCTGCAGAAAGACATAGACTATAAAGTGAAAAAAAAAAAGGTCTGGAGGTCTGGCTTCTAAGTCCCACTTCCAAAAAGCTGTCTTCTGGTCCACAGTTTCACTCTGCCAGTCCTTAGCTACAAAAAAAAAAAAAAAAAAAAAAAGCTTCTACTTTACTATAGTCATGGAAACCTCTCTTAAACCTGGCACTCTTTCACTTTGGGAGCCAGCTCAGACTTCAGATCAGGATTTACTGTTACTAGCTGTCTACCTGTCAGGGACCTCAATCTAAAGTGCTCTCTGTGTAAAATGGAGGTGAGATTAACACTTAGCACACAGGTTTCTTTTGTAATGTGTAACCTAAGGAATGGTGGAGCACAGGTCTTGGCACTTAGGCAGGTTCATACTACTACTGCCCTCTACTTGCTATGTGTGCTCTAAAGACCACCTCAGGGACTTATACTACCTTTACCCTAAGTGAAGGTGATAGTTAATATTCTCAGATAGCATTTATATATGCAAGAGCATATATAAATATTTAAATTATCTCATTTCATATATATTTAAATTATTTCATTTAAACTTCACATCAGTCCTTATTTTACTAACAGGGGCTCCAGGAGGCCAAGTCAACTTTCTCAGTTCCATAGCTCACAGGTTCTGAGCTACTTGGTCTTTCAGACTCTAAAGTTCTATTTGGTTTGTACCACTTGTTGGAAACATTCAGTAGAAGAAAAGCAATGACTAGATACAGGTGAAGACAGTTGAAGCAGAATAGTTAGGAGAGGAGGCTCGGAAGATGTAGATAGTCTATTGTTTAGCAGCTGATGTGACCACAACTGGTTTAACATCAAACTTCCTCTATGGGTTTTATGTATCAGATGGGATCAATTAATTATGCATCATACCAATTCCAAGAATGATTACCTAATCTGCAAAATTAAACTTTAAAAACAGCCCTGTTTTTATATGGCACACGCCTTCACTGACTCAGTGTGATAACTTCTGAGCAGGCTGCCCTGTGCAGTCAGGTTCAGGAGATTAGGAGTCCATCATGGAAGGACCAAGGCTAACGTTGCTGATAGGGCCACCAGGTATAGAGACCCGTGAAGTATATAGAGAGATTTCAAGGTTCAACTCTGAATCTGAATTGCTGAAACTTACCAGGCCTAATTCCAGAATGAGTGGCTGTAGCAGTTGCCCTGTTCAGCGCAAAACAATAGAACCCACAGAGAAAAGGGTATAGGGGAGGATATAAACATCTTCAAAAAACATAAATTCCTTATGAGACTTCTATAATCCATTAGTAAGAGGAAAGCATTGGTGAATACATTCTGAACTTTTTTGCAATTAGCAGTGAAGAGAACAGTTCCCCTACTTTTCCTAGAGATTCATTAACAGAAACAAAATTCACCTTTTGTGTATGCTGGTATTTATACTCCATAATTTAACATTTTGGGCCTGAATTTTTTTTTCTTCTCCAGGAAAAAAAAAATCATTTTTTCTTAAACAAATATTTGAGTGTATCTTAACCATTTTCTCAACTTGTCAACAATATTTATAGATGTAATTTTAAAAAGTCTACAATCAGATGTGTATACAGGAAAAGAATATTCTGAATCCTCACTTCAAAACAAAAACCATTAGTTTTTGTCATCATTTCCCAAATTAGCAGGTGTTTAGAAAGAAATCAGAAATGTCAGGCAGTATGAGAAATGTTCCCTCCACTATATATACTTTTTGACATTGAGGGTTTTCAGAGCTACATTCCTCCAACAGATGTCATAAATTTTGTGTGTCACACAATGAATGAAGCTATGTTGAGAGTTCACTAATAAGAATGTAACTTTGCCAAATTTATGACAAATGGGCATCAACCCAGAGGATAAGGCTGGTTCTGGCTGCCTGTGAGAATTTTATTTCCATCTGTTTCCAAGGCCATGGAGAACAAAGAGTTGAGTCAGGGCCTTATCAGAGCCTGCCAATGCTGATGCCCTGAATGAAATGCTGATTCAGCAAAACATTGCCCCTTCTGACCACAAAGGCCAGAGGAAAAGGAGGCCTGGAGAGATTAAGTGGCTTGCTCCAAGACATTCAGCTGGTTGAGTTCAGCTCAGCAGCGGGGCTAGCTGAGAACTAGATGTGGCAATGTGTTCCTCAGCCCTGGGCTTTCTTCCCTTCTGCATTGTGCCCTTAGCCAAGCTGAAACTACTTTTTTCTTTTGAAATGAAAATCCCCAGTACCATTGACCTGGAGGCTATTCATTGTATGGCCAGGATGCCCCATACATGAAAGATATAATGTTTGTTGATTGGAAAAATAACCCAGAAACAAGCACCAGTAATAGCTTCAAAGTTGTTCATTTGTGCACAGGAGGTGAACGTCATAGGTTCATATTTCACTTTTAATCAAAACGCCTACCCTTGAGAATAGGTTTCTGTGACACCATTCTCAAACTATATTTGGATTTGCCGCTGATTGCAAGTAGACAGAACACAGGATACTGCGCCAAGGTCTGGCTTTGATGTAAAGGAAGGCAGTGCAGCCTTAATTCTTTCTGGAGGAGTCATCAGGGGACCACTGTGGAATCCATGCCCCTGTTCAGAGGAAAGCTGATGGCACAAAAGGTAAGGTGTCTTTTGTATGTGTGACAGAGGAGCAGCTCTCCCTCCATTTTCCCAGGGGCCTGCTGGGCATGGGTGGGCCAGAGGAATGAAAAGCCACCTCCTCTTAGTGGATGCTGCATGGGGAAGGGTACAGAGACACCAGCATACTGCATGATGGTGAGTCTCAATCTATTTCCAACTCTAAGGATTTGGAATACTGCCTTTCCAGTGGAACTCTCTTTTACACTCAAAAATTGAAAATCCACTCCCAGGTGCCTGGGGATGATAATGCCCTTCAGTGTTCCAGTGAGCTGAGTTTCAGTGGGTTTACTAGATCCTGCACCAGAACCCACACTCCATACCCGTCTCAAGTTCAGTTCCTCCGTGAAAACCATGGTTCGCATAAAACAATTGTCAAGGAACTACTTAAAAGATCATGCTTTGGTCAAGAGCATAATGTGAACGTCTTCACTATCTATCCCCCAAAAGGACTGAGTATTGCTAAAAGCTCAGTGATCCACACAAAAATTGGAACAATGCAATGGGATTGGTGGGGGAGAGGCAGGGCAGGGGGCGGGGTTAGGGAGGTGCTGGCATATCTGCCTCTTGGGAGACCAGGCAGTTCGAAAATGAGAACTGCTAGCTTGTTCCATGAGAACTGCTAGCTTGTTCTGCTTGAAGGCTCACTGCCATGTTTTGTTTTCCTGCTGTAGTCCACCAACACTCCTTTCCAGAACAACTCAGGACTGTCCAGCCCCTTCTCAACAAATTAGGGCCAGGTACGATGGCACACACCTGCAATCCCAGTGGCTCAGGAGGTTGAGGCAGGAGGATTGTGAATTCAAAGCCAGCCTCAGCAACTTGGTGAGGCCCTAAGCAACTCAGTGAGACCCTGTCTCTAAAATATTTAAAAGAGCTGGAGATGTGGTTCAGTGGTTAAGCACCCCTAGGTTTAAACCTCAGTGCCTGCCCTGCCCCCCAAATTAAGAAGAAACAAAGGCAGAGTAATTTGTCTAGTAATAAGAATATAATAAAGTAAAAAAAAAAAATGAGTCCCAATGAATTTTTTCTGGTGTCAAATCTTGGCAAAGTTGCTTACCTGTCTTGAGTTGCTAACCCCCTTCTTAAAAACTATCTGGAACATCTTCATTCCCCTACCATTTCCTGAAATTTTTTATTACTCTAACCTCTTATTCTACTCACTATCAGATGCAAAAGAGCTTCCATGTTGTCATTTATTAATTAGGGAATATATGGAAAGTAAGCTTTATAATTTGGTCTAAAAGACTAAGAATTAAATTCCATTTCTATTTTTAAAAGACATTATTTGAGGAACTGTACATTGGGAGTTGCAGGATGATACAGAAAAGGTATAAAATAGACTTCTTGGCATCAAGGAGTCTGTGAAATCCAGAGGAAGCAACTAAATATATGCACACACACTTAAAAAAATGATGACATGGCAAATTGAAAGTAGATGATACAGGAGTACAAGGGAAACGGACATACTCCCTTCTGGGAAGGTTTTTATACCCCTAAAACAAGACCCCTGGGGCATGCTGTGTGATTTCCTCAAAGGCACTCCAGTCCCAGGCAAATCATGACTCACCCTGGCCTCTAAAATCTTAGAAATGAGCTCTACTGGCTTAGAAAGGCTTTGGTTTTTACTAGTTACTTTGTCCACTAGGTTTTTGTTCATTGTTGTAGCTTTCTTCTCCCATAGTCTCATTTTAACACTCTCTCTTGCCTATTTCCCATTATTTGGTCTTACCTATCAAACCTTTTCTTTTGTCCTAAGGCAACTTTTAATCTTTAGAGGAAAGAATAGAATATAAACAAACAGTTGCATAAACTGTCCGAGACCATAAAATCAGCTTTCTACACCACTAGTTAGCCTTGGGTCTCTGGAAAAACCAAAAACAGAATGTTCACTAACATCCTCTTCCATGGGATATGTCCTAGCTCTATTTCTTGGAATAATGAAGATCTGATCCTCTTGGGTTACCTGACTTTAGAAGCCTCAGCCAAGTTCAGAGCCTCCCTAACAGGTTAGGAGTGCTGGGTGTCTCCAGATAACCCATTTCCCAGTCTTTCAAGAGAGATGAAAAGTAGGGCAGTGTGCTGGGTTTCACTGCTGCCTTAGCAGGAACTGCTGGGCTGGGGTGGGAGCTCGCCATTTGCTTTTCTAATTTTGATTATTCCTATCCAAAACAGAAAAGAAAAGAAAATTTTACTGATAAACATGGATAATTAAATTTGATTGGAAAAGATGCCAACCTAAAGAATTAATCCCAATTTGTATAACAGGAATAGATGTGTGTTGTTTATTTAAAGGAATATGTAAATTTCATGCAATACTTTGCAAGTTCAAATGAAAAGCTATTTGGTTACAGAGTTGCAAGGTAAATAAGCAAAATGTGAGCCTAAAGTAAAAGCTACCATATACTATACCATATGTATACATTTTGAGTTTTTTATTTGCTATAAATCATACAATAGAGAAAATCTACAAAGCAAAAAAGATTACCTGTAATCTTAACACTTTTAAAAAGAAGGATTTTCTGTTTTCCATGTAGTTTGCTAGTGTGTGTATGTCTTTTTATTCAAATTTTTGTATTCAAAAACGTTTGCATAAGTACTTTCCTATATTGCTAAGCTGGTCTTCATGATATCATTATACGATATTCATCTAGCTAATGTGCCATAATTTGTTCTCTCATATTTGATCATTTGGGTCTTTTCTAATTTTTCGTAACTAGGGCTGATTAGAGATTCTTTGTAATGCGGATATTTTATGACTTGTGGGAAATAAACATGCACTTTGAAAAAAAAACTTTCTTTTAAGTTGCAGACATAATGTAAAATATAGAATTAAGCTGCTTCTCAACTGTGTGTGATTTCTGCTTCAACCTGGACTAGACAGCCTTTTCTTGAGCCGCGCCCCGGCCCCCCCAACTTTGGGTTCTTAAGAAAGAAACAAAACACTGTTCTCAAACTGGTTGGGGTAGAGAAATCTAGCTCCACAGGTTATTCTCTGTTTCTCTCTTCATCTCTATGAAACACAAATATGAAAAATGGAACTTTAAGCCACGTGTTCACCACAGCTACCTATTCTTCTTGCCTGTAACCTTGTCTAGACCCATAACTGATATGAGTAAATAATGGGTATGTGCTATGTGGACTCAGAAGCACTGCCCAGGTACTCAGTTTGGGGAGAACCCTCAAGTGCTAGGTAATAAACATTGATAGTGGGAGGAAGCAGTCATAAAGGAAGCCAGTACCTAGGCTGAGGAGGCAGCCTAGGTACTGGGTAAAATCCAGGCTTTGAAAAAGACCAGAATTTGAAAGCCACCTCTACTGTATACTGGTTTTGTGACTTTAAGTAAGCTACTTAATTTCTCTGTGATTGATTCCCCATCTGCCAAATGGAAAGATAATAGTATCTGCATCATAAAATTTGGGACATGGTTAAATATGTTATTGCATATGAAGTTTTTAGTATAATCCCCGACACAGCAAACTCAACAAGGAACAACTCCCATTGGTGTGTTGTTATTGAAACGCACCTGAATCTTGCATCCCTACAATCATCCTGTATAGTCCCTCCCTGGGCTTCAAAGGAAAGGCTGCCCTTTGCCTCTTCCCTACTCACTGTGAGGCTGTGATATTTTGCTCTCCTCTTCAGGACCACCATTGACATTCATTTCCTCAGGAAAATCATGATGGGTCAGGGCAGTGGCCAGATAGCTTCATAGATCTTTCCCCTGAAATCACAAGGAAGCAAGGCTTCTAAAATCCAGCACAGGTAAACAGCATTAAGAGCCCCCCTCCAGGAAAGAGAGGAGGAGCCTGAATAGACCCTGAATGAGCAACCATCAGCATCTGTCCAGGGAGTTATCTCTCCTTGTGGCATCCAGAACAGAGTGCCCAGGTCCAGTGTCTCCTCCAGGTGATAGGGGTTTTCTTTCCAGGTTAGGTTTCCTGGGGACTTCTCAATGACACTATGAAAACCCAGCTCACCTGCTTGTTGATTCTACTCTCTGACTCTAAAGCACTTGAAAGCTGACATCAGATAGCAACATCCTGGTCCTCCTCTGGTGAAATCCTCAGCATATAAAATGCTGCTTCATGGTCCCCTATCTTGGACTTACAGCTCCTACCTCCATATCTTTAGCCTTTAAACAGGAGGGTTAGCAGGAGGAGGCAGGCTGTTCTCACTGGATCAGATTGTGGCATTCTGGAGGAGGCAGGAGCTTGAAGTCCTTAGTTGGCTATGACTTTTGCCTAGAGAGTAGTTCTGGTATGGGGCAGGACATAGGGACCCAGCCAGCACCAGGAATAAAGCCAAGCATCTGCTCTGTGCTTTTAGGTTTGGCTGGCCAAGGTATTTGACACCAGGGGACATCTTTCCTTTCACACTCTATTGTCATAGGGCTTCAATTACATTCTTGACTGGGAGCCCAGGAATGGGGATAGTGGACACTCCAGAAATCCTTAGAGCAGTGACTACATAAGTTTGTACCCTATCTGCCACCCTAACAATGGTGCACATCCCTGGTCTTCTAGATGGAGGGGTCACTGCAACCTCCAGATAGCAGAAGGAACCAGTTGCCACCTCAGATTTGACATTAAAGAGAAGTGGGAGGTCAGTTTGCGCACCTCAGAGCTGGATTATCCTATAGGACTGGGTACTGAGTGAGCTGGCACAATCAGGGCACCCAAAAGAATGAGAAAAAAGTATGATGGAATTTAATAGTTAATGCAAATTAATATTTATATTTTATATTTCAAAATGATGTATTAACAAAGCCATCATTGAAAAATAGAAATTTGCTGTCTTATAAATATTTTCTAGTTTAGTGATAGTGTATCTGGAATTATGAATGCCTTTCATGAAAATGCTGTCTTGAACTGACTGCATATCTCATCAGTGTCACAGTTCACCATCAAGAAGTGCTGGGCTCTTCCACAAGCTTCTCACCCAGGCCCTAACTCTCCCGAGGACCCACCTCATTTCCCCTCAACATATGGCCACATATCTATACACAGAGCCATTGTCATCACTGCCACCACTAATCACCTACAGGAAACACCGACCACATTTATACATTATGTGTCTGTTTTTTGAATCTGTAATAGTAGGCTTCAATCCCTAATGCTTCCCAGTTAACCACTGGGGAATGTAAGGCAAGTTACTTGGCTCTGACTTTTGGTTTTCTCCTCTATAAAAGCATGCCTCGGTAGGGCTGGTGGTGCACGCCTGTAATCCCAGCTATTCTGGAGACTGAAGCAGAAGAATCACAAGTTCAAGGTCAGCCTGTTCAATGACCCTATCTCAACATTTTTAAAAAGGGCTGGGGATGTGGCTCAGAGATAGAGCACCCCTGGGCTTCATCCCCAGTACCAGGGAAAAAAAAGACTGCACCTGCCTCTTATGGTTATATTAAAGAATAAAAGATAAATCATGAACAGGGCCTATATGGTGAAATTTACAAATGTTAGGGTTGTTTCCTGGAGCATGGCTCACACCTGTAATCCCAACAGCTCAGGGGAGTGAGGCAGGAAGATCGCAAGTTCAAAGCCAGGTTCAGTGACCTTAGTGAGGCCCTAAACAACTCTGTGAAACTGTATCTCTAAATAAAATACAAAAAAGGGCTGAGATATGGCTCAGTGCTTAAGCACCCTTGGGTTCAATCCCTGGTACAAAAAAATAAAAAATAAAAATAGGGTTGTCAATGTTCTCTCTTCACTCCTAGCCCCTTATAGAGGAAATAAGCACATAACCATCACATCTTAGCCTGATGGACTTTGTGGGGAAACTTAATCTTCATAAGTTTCAGCCTTCATTGTTTCAAATATTTGAAGTAGAGGGGCTTTTCTGGAGAGAGGTTTGCTTAAAGGTAATTCTCTGAAATAATTTTGGGTTTTTTTTGAGTCAGCCATCAATGGGGCATCAGATGATTGTGTCTAAGAAGCACTTAGCTGAGGATTCCTGAACAAGCAGGGCCAGCCTTGAGCCTCCCTGAGTTTCAGTGAGTTGTGCATTTCAGGGCAGGCCCCTGTCCAAGATCCCATGATCCCCAAAACTGTGATCAGTGAGAAGGAAGCACTTCCTCAATTCCTCTTTCTCTCTTTTGCTTCCTGGCAATGAGGTTTGCTCTCTCACGTGCTCCCACCATGGTGTGATGCCTTGCCACAGGCCCAAAATCAACAGCACCAACAGGTCATGGACTGGAACCTCCAAAAATGTAAGTCAAATGAAACCTGTCTGTTTATAATTATCTCAGACAGAAAGCTGATTACCACAGGATCCTTCATTATTTAACAGCAGTTGCCCTCTCAGAGGGCAGAGATTGTTTTTTCATCACTTTTACAATTAGTGTATCCCTAAAATATAATAGAAATCAACAGAAGTCTGCTAGATTTGATAGAGGTGAAACTCATTCTGCCTGAAGGTGAAGTTGGTAGTTAATTACAATGTATCAATTGAGGGACCTTCTTCAAAATGCCCTTTCCCTCACTCTTCTTGAAATTCCTTTATTAATAAATTTTCTACAGGTGCAGTGGTGCATTCCTATAATCCTGGAGACTAGGGAGGCTGATGCAGTAGAATCACAAGTTTGAGGCCAGTCTCAGCAATTTAGCAAGACCCTCAGCAATTAAGCAAGAACCTGTCTGCAAATAAAAAAATAAAATAAAAAAGGATTGGGGATGTACTCATCCCCAGTGGTAAAGTACCCCTGGTTCCACCTCTAGTACAGATGATGATGATGATGATACTTTTTATTTTACTTTAACTTTTCTTACCCAGTTGTTTTATTTTAAACATCAGTGCCATTAGGGAAATGGGATACTAATAAAAACAAAATATTAACTTCTTCATGTTTTTGCCCTGGAAACCCTGTAAACCAGAGTTTGGCAAACTATGGTCAATAGGTCAAATTCAGCCTACCATGTACAACCTAAGAGTAAAGAATGGTTTTTCAATTTTTAAATGGCTGAAAAAAAACTCAAAATAAAAAAACTCAAAATAGTTTATAATATATGAAAATTATCTTTCTTTTAGCTGTAGATGGACACAATATTTTTATTTTTATTTATTTATTTATTTGTTTATTTTTATGTGGTGCTGAGGATGAAACCCAGTGCCTCATGCTTTCAAGGCTAGCACTCTACCACTGAGCTACAACCCCACCCCTTATTTGTGTTCTTGATAATTGCCATTCTGACTGGAGTGTGAGGAAATTTCAGTGTAATTTTGATTTACATTTCCCTGATTGCTAGAGATGCTGAATATTTTTTCATGTATTTGGCCATTTGTGTTTCTTCTTTTGATAAATGACATTTAGTTCTTTTGCTCATTTATTAATTGAGTTATTTGGATTGGTTTCTTTGTCTATGGGGTATGAATCATGGTGTTAAGTTTTTTGAGTTCTTTATATATTTGGATATCAATCCCCTCTCTGAGGAGCAGGTGGCAAAGATCTCTCATTCTGTAGACTTTCTCTTCACACTCTTAATTGTTTCCTTTGCTGTGCAGAAACCTTTTAATTTGATGCTATTGTACTTTTTGATTCTTGACTTTATTTCTTGTGCTTTAGGAGTCTTGTTAAGGAAGTCAGTGTCTGTGCCAGCATGTTGGAGTGTTGGCTTATATTTTCTTCTAGTAGTTGCAGAGTGTGTGGTCTAATTCCTAGGGTTTTTATCTACTTTGAGTTGACTTTTGTGTATAATCTCTTTTTAGTGGGGAAATGGTTCTTTAAGAGGTACATTGATTTCCAGAAATTCTATGTAAATAGAAGTCTTATTAATAAAATAGTATTTTAAAAATAGTTTTATACTTCTATTTAAAAATAATTACTTAGGTTTAGAGGATAAAAACATTAGCTTGAATTTTGGGAGACAGGTTGGTCAGAAGCAGTGACTATGCTAGCCCAGGATACCTCCTCTTCATCTTGTCTTTTCACTGCTCCTAATTCTTGGAGACCAGGTCCATTAGTGATGGTGCACTTCTTACTCAATCTCTGAGTCTCAGCTCAGTGGAAGCAGACTGTTTGAATTATGACCCAAGCAAAGAGAGATTTTTCCCAGGAGTAGAAAAGGAAGTGATTTACTCTGGGTAGTCCCGACTACATGCCTGGGAAATCATCGCTCTGCAGCTAAATGGTTTCCATACTGCAAAGAGCAGGGGAAAAGAACAGGCAAGGATAGGAATTCCAGAAGTGGGTTTTCTTCCATCCTCCCCACCCCAAGTTTATTGGTAAATGTGTGGTTGTTGTGTTAGTCACCCCATTTCCCCACATGAACTCTTTCCCCAAACTCCTGCTTTTGCAGCTAGTCAACTTCAAGGACAGTAAATTTGGGCTGAGTTGCCAGCTCAAGGATTTTCAAGTCAGACATCACCTCTCAGTGAGGAAAGCTGATGAAGTCTGATCCAGTGTGATTTCCCCAGGCTCCATGGAATTGTAGATTTTCGTGGATTTGCCAGAGGAATTTTATTGGTCTCACCGGGAAGATGAAGCTCCATTTTCCCTTCTCACATTAGACTGTCCCAGCAGGGGAATGTAAGAGAATTCTTGGGTCTGTAACAGCATGTGAGCCTTCTAGTGGTACACAGAATTGCTGGTGGGCAATTTAAAAATCAATTCCACCTTCAACTGTGAGATGCAGAGAATTCATGGAAGGCAGCAAATGTTCATTCTTTCTGCCCCATCTAGTTTGGTGGAATACAGGGTACAATCTCTGCTTTCAAAGCATGATAGAACATATGCATGAAATACCTTTAGACAAAGAATCTTTTCCTAACATGAAGAAACTTCAAATTTGCCCAGAGTCAAAAAAAAAAAAAAAAAAAGTTCAAGATGTCAGAACTGGAAGGGAGAAGTAATTTTACAGATATGGAGGAGGAGACCAAATTGTTGAGGCAGGTCATTCAAAATCCCATAGCTAAGGGACAGCAGGGTGCACATTATGATGTAGGGTGCCTGACAAGATACCCAGAGCATTTCCCATGAGGCTGCACTGTCTTCCCTTCCTGGCTGATGGAGATGGGTTGTGGATAGAATGGTAGAACTAGGAAGGCAGATAACTGGTGAATGGAGAAATAGAAAAAGAAGACAGGAGCTACCTACATGCCAGGAAATACTAATGTCAATCCCTTCCCATCTTTGATATAAGCTATTGCTATTTCTTTATATTATATAAAGCATGAAAACCCAGCTC